GGAGTCGTTATTTTCCCGGATTTATCCACTCAACGGATAAACGAGAACAGTTTGCATCTTTCAGAAAGACAAATTAGTCCTTGAATTTGCATCTTTAAAGAATGACAGATTAGTCCTTGTACTGTTCTAACAATGTTTAGTAAATACAAGTGTGCACTCCCACACCTCCTAACTTGACACAGAAGATTAGGGTTCGGTACTAACAATGTTTAGTAAATACAAGTGTGCACTCCCACACCTCCTAACTTGTATTATAACTAAAACATTATTCTTGAAACACTTGTTAAGTCCATTACACTAAAATATATTTGGTAATAAAATCACCAACACATTTTGGGTTGCAGGTAGATAAGGCCAACATTCAAAAGAAGAAGGACGAGGAAAAGGTGAGATTATTATGTATTCTATATGTTTTATTTGAAGTGCTGAAAAGTAGGTTGCTAAACTTTTAATGTGCACTGTAGGCACTTAAGGAGCTTAGAGCCAAAGCTCAAAAGGGAGCACTGGGAGGTACTGGTCTGAAGAAAAGTGGGAAGAAATGAGCTGAAGTTGCTGCATATACTACTACTACTACTACTATGTTGTGATTTGTGAATCCTGCTTCTAATATCTTAGCTGAATGTGTTTGGTAAATTCAGTATAAACCTTTTGCAGTTTGCTTGTAATAATCATGGTGATATTTGGTCTAGATGTTGTTTAGGTTGTATGCTGAATCTGTCATAATCTGGATCTGGTTATGTTTTGTTTGGTTATGAGTTCTAATTTTTTTAAAAAGGCAGGCTTTTGGGTGAAGGTTAAAAAGTTAAGTTCTTTTAAAACTCAATCCCATGGTTAAACCTAACTGGAATTGTGTTGTCTTCATGTGTAAATCATGAAAACATCATTTTCCAGGTGTTAGAATGTCCATCTAAAGTGTTTATCGTATGCTGTAGTCACAATGAGGAAAACATCATGTTTTTGGTGTTAGAACAAGAATTATCTGTAGTCGCAATGAGGAAAACATCATGTTTTTGGTGTTAGAACAAGAATTATGTATCTAAAGTGTTTATTATATATGTGAGACTCATGTATTACATGGGTTAAATAAAAAAATTAAATATCAAAGTGTAAGCATAAGTATTTTTTGAAATTAAATTTTAAAATAAGGAAGGAAAAAACATATTTATTGTAGTTTGTGATCATATTTATTATATTTAATACTGTAACTATATGCATTATGTGACTTTTTAATTTTAAAATTTAAAAAACCTAGAAATTGACATGTGAATATTATTTATTTCAAAAATACTACAAAATGACAAGTATCAAAACTTATAATAGATTGAATTCTTCAAGGATTTTTTGGTCATAATAATCAGTTTTGAGTGCTTATTAGTAAAAAATGACTGAATTCTTCAAGGATCTTAGAGCCAAAGCTCAAAACGTATACAGAAAGTTCGATATTGAAAATTACTTCAACGTGCTTATTAGTAAAAAATTACTTGAGGCGAAAATAATCAGATTTGGAAAATTGTATAAAAACGTATACAGAAAGTTCGATATTGAAATGAATGTTAAATTACCAAATAATATATAACATTAGTTAACTATTTGATTTAATTTTAATTCTTCAAGTTGTACCAAATACTTAAAAGCCACATGTCCAAATTTACTAATAACATTTATAGTATTTGAAAATAAGATAAATGTTACTAAAGACAGTTACGTTTTTTTTTTTTTTTTTTTTTTTTTTTTTTTTTTTTTTTTTTTTTTT